ATAAAGGCAACGACTAAACCAGTGCTCAGACCACGCTCACTAATGGTACTAATCAGCCTCAAGGCCATCTGTCATGTGTCAGTGAGCAGCCCTGAGAAATTCTCTTGCTTTATAGCTCAGAATTCTTCAACAGAAGCTATACATTCCAACATGTACAATGCTGTGAGACTGGTGATACTAAAGGGCTGTTGCTGAGTGATCTCTCCTTTCCCCTTTGTCCTGTGCCTTTGGGGATGAAACAGCAGAAATGTAGGAATGTGGGCTGCATGTTTTAAATTCAGTGGAAGGAAGTGATGTATGAGTGATGAGAGGGAGAAGAGGCAGAGCCAAAGATCTGCAGAGAATACCTTGATTTTAATGTGACCTTTTTCCTTCCCAGTGTGTTTCCTGCTTGTTAATACCCTGCTATCTCCAGCACCGAGTCATATTGTAAATAAACTGCACCAGAGGCCACTGTGATGTACCCCATATCTGTTCATCTCTCCAGTTCAGCAGCAGTTGAGAAGTTGGTGTGAGGTTCCTCGTCCCTTAGAACAGTTCTCCACAACGTGTCCATGCTTAGGGACTTCCTTGCTGGGAAGCAGCTTGTGTTGAAGACCATGAAAAGCTCTTCAGACCCTCAGAAGTGGGCTCCTCTCTGCTGCCATAAGCAAAGACCTGAACCCCCAAGCCTCCATCGACCTCCATGGTTTCTTGGACCCAACTGCAGAAGGGTTGTTGACAATCCAGAGCCAGCAAAGTCACTGCAGCATTTCCAAAGGCTTCAGGATTTCTCTGTGGAATCATTTGACCGTCTTCAAAGTGCCCCCTTAGCTTTGGGTTTTGTTTTGTTTTTCTTATATATTCATTTATTTTTTCCCCCCTAAAGCAGTGAGGGAATCAGCTTCATTAGAAGCTCAAGTTCCATCTCACCAGCCTTATGGATCAAGCTGTGGCAGGAAGCTGATGCTGCTTTCTTGTGCAAATTTGGACCAGAGGGTAAAACAAAAAGGCAAGGGTGGGAATCTGGGGATCATGAGCTCCATTTCAGAATCTTGCAGCTTTCTTAACGTTTGTTTCAAGCTCTCACTGAGGAAAAATAGCCTGAATTACAGGCAGTTTGCCTATTTGGCCCTTTTCTGCCTCTGGAATGTGTTTATGCTTCCCTCTGTGTAGCTGCCACACATGACTGAGCAGAGATCAGCATCGTTGGGGTGAAAAAGATGCAAGAAGAGCAGCAGATAAATTCCTGGAAGAGCTTGGAGTCAATCCTGCTGATGCTGATGCAGAGGTGCAGGCAGCTGATTCCCCAGTACCACAGGATTCACCTTGTTTTCAGTGTCACTTCCTAAATCATCTCGCTGCCTGCCTGCTGTATTTCCACACAGATCTGCAGTTCCATGGCAGAATGCTTCTTCAGGGTTAATTACCTGCAGGCAGTGGGTCAGATTGCTTTCACCTCTCCTAAGAATCACTCTGGAGCATAAGAGCTGGCACCTATGGGAGCAGTTTTTCTCAGTGTGCTGCTGGTGGTTGTCTGAAATCTTATTCCATTTGCCTTCTGTTCAGAACCCCTTCGTGCTGTATGATGGAGGCAGTATTTAATGCTGTTTTGCTGAGGCATGGTTCTGTTCCTGGCTTGATCCTGGGAGTTGTGATGGGCAGCAGTTCTCCAGAGCCATCCTGAACTTCTGGTGTGTTTGAGGTGCAGGTGGGGCAAAGGGAAGCAGTGTGAAGAGCTGGTAAACGTGGAGATTCCCTGTGATGGAGAGCTGCTCCTCATCTCATTCCTTCACACGTGAGTTGTGGCCTTGTGCTGTGCCCAAAGCATCAGGGTGGGAAATGCATGAACCAGAGGCAAGAAAGCCAAATTACAGAGGGCTCTGCTCATTGCCACACCGTTGGCACTCAGTGTAAATAGAGAATTGCTGGCTCCTGACATTCCTTTCTGTTCACTATTACTTTGTGACCGTGGTGTAACATCCAGCCCAGCTGTAGTTCCTGGTGGATTAAATGGACCTTCAGTAACCGAGATGCTACATCTGCCTTTTTCCTGATGCATCCTGGAGGCTGGCAGCATCCTCAGTCCTCCCCACGTATACTTCAGCAGGATATTTAATGTGGCATTGCTCCGTGCCAGGCTCTGGGTCCTGGCTGCCTCAGAACTGGATTTGGGGAAGTGAACTGCAGGGATGAGAGCAATAGCGGATGGAGTGGGAATCCCTTCCTGCTGTGCTGAATTGCAAACATTTTTGAGAGTCTGCTTTTGTCTGAAGGATTTCTGCCTGTCTGCAATTGCTTTTCCTGGGAGGAGGGAGCAAGAAGCAGAGAGAAATGGTATTTAGGTGAAAGTTAGCACAGAGAACGAGCTGCAGGGGAAAGTGTTCCCCTTCACTGAATAAAAGTAGGGAAACCCAGGAAGTTCCCCCTCCTTTGCTGTCTGATCAGTGCATTCTTTCACAGCCTTCAGCACTTAATCAGGCAGACAGGAGGAGGCTGAGCTGTGAGGGTGCAGATTTCAAGCAGGAGCGTTTGATGATGTAGAAATCTCTCTTGCCTTTGTTCCAGTCGTTGGATTGAGGATCCGTGGAAGCTTTCACAATGGAAAACCCCGAGGCTTGGCAGGAGCAGATTGCGGTCTGATCTCTGTGTAAGGGCTGACTTCAGCTTGGAGCCATCACAGGTTCTGCCAGCTCTGGGGCTGCATGCATCACACAGAGCCCTCAGCCATTTGTAGCTTACAGGAGCACTGTGACTGCTGGAAAGAAATCTTTCCTGTGTGGCCAAAGCATGAGGTTCTGCTCTGAACACAGAGCCTGAGTGGATGGCTGCAGTGTGTGAGTCTGAATGGCCGCTCCTCCATGCTGGCATCTCGAAAACAGCATTAATCCAGAGGTGAAACATCAGACTGTGTCGAAATGGTTGCTGTATCACGTTGCTGCTTGGAGCTTGCTTTGCTTTGCAACCTTTTCTTGTCTCTCTTGTTCAGACACCTTCAGAAGCGAAGCAGGTGGGAGATTCCACCAAAGCCAGTTGAAAATATTGATGGCTGTTGCAGCTGGAGGTCAGGTTGTGAGCAGCTGAGACGTGCTCTCAAGAAATGAGCACGGGTGGTAAGGAGTGAAAGTGCAGAGGTCTGTGGGCTGTGCTTGGAGCTGTCAGACCCCCAGACCTGACTAGGTTTCCTCCCCTGCAATCTGTGCATTTTGGAGATGGTAGCTGTGGGTGACGTTTGTCTTTTGGCAGAGGAAGGGGCTGTGTCTCCTGACTTCCAGCCCTGCTTCCCACCTTTCAGAGTGAACCTTCTGGCTTTTAATGTTTCTACAGGGCAGGGCTGAGCAATGGCAGCAGGGCACAGCCCCTTGCTGGCTTTCTGCTCCAGCACCACGCAGATACAGGAGGAGGAGAGCCCACGTTATCTCGATCTGCACAGTTTCTCTTCCTCTCCATATTGCCTTTTGTCTTCAGTGTGAATGGGAGATGTCTGGCGAGTCAGTGGGTTCAAACTGGTGCTTCACACACCTGAAAATCTACACCTGGATCTTCTGGGTAAGGTTAAAAACCAGTTTGCCAGCCAAGCCCCCGGTTGCATTTCCACATAAACTTGGCACCACGTCTGCAAAGCAGCTGAAACCTGTAGGGCTGTGCTTAGGTTTTTTACTGCATGCTTTGCTGTTGGATGCTGGGCCGGTTGGGTTTCCAGCCTGGCAGGGTGTTGCTCTCAGGTGACCTCGTATCTTTTGCTGTTGTTTCCAAAAGGAAAATGTGTTTGTGTCTGTCAGTCCTCTGGAGACTGCTGTGTCCTGTGTCAGCCTCGTCCTGCTGGTACCTTGTTTGGTGTCCGTTGCTCTCGCCTCCAAATAAAGCAGTTGTGCAAAGCCTGGGTTAGGAATTCCTCTGTTTGCTGGGAAGGGGGAGATCTGACTGTTCTGGGGCTGTCACAGCGGTGAGGGCTGCGTTGGGTTTTTCTGGTGACTCATGGAAGTGTCTCATCCTCGGAAACGTCCCCACATCCCTTCTCTGTGCTCCAGTGTGGGGAGGAGGAGGGAATGCTGGAGCCACAGCCTGTGTTTTTCCCCTCCCCTTCACCACTGATTGCTCCCACATGTACAGAAACATCTGAAAGTAATAAAACGTGGTGCTTTGGCTGTTCAGTAACCTGTGCTGTGTTGGACCATGTGTTTTTTAACACCCTCAATGCTTCAGTTGCAGGAATTCGGGGCAGTGTGGGCTGAAGCTCTGTAGGTTTTTATGTACGAGGAGGCAGAGCCCAGGTGCTTGGGAAGCTCTTCAACCTCTTCCCTTAAAATCAGGGAGTTTCTTTGCAGGCTGAGAGCGTGCAGGGGCCGACCCCAACCCCAGCCATTCTGCATTGCCTGGTCTGCTGCTCCTGTCACCCTATCTGAAATGCACAGAGCAAACAAGTGGTACCGGGGCCCTGCCTGATTACCAGGTGCTGCTGGGGAGCCCGGCTGCCCTCCTTTGCCTTCCAGTCACGCCAGCACTGTGGTTGGATAGAGAAAAGGAGCTTGTCTGCAGTGCCCTGGGGAAATGGGGCTGCGCATGGGCTGGGGGCCAGGGAGGCTGGAAGGCAACGGCCCCTGTGCTGGCTTTGCTGCACTCTGAGCTCCAGCACCAAGGTCCCTCTTACAGCAGCAGCTCTGCAAAAAAGATTCATCGTGCGATGCTGGCAGAGGACAAGGGGCTGTGCTGTTCTCTGCTGTTGCACCAGAGTGGAGCGTGAGGTTGCACAGCCAGGTTTGAGATGCATCCAGACCCCACAGCAGGTTGTTTTTTGTGTAAGGGCAGTGTTGGCTTTGCTCTGGTCCGTGTGGCTGCTTTGGTCACTCCGGTGCATACTGATGGCTGTAGGAGTGCCATAGCTCTCACTGCTGCTCTTGAGATGGGACAGAGGGTCTGTTTAGGATCCAAGCTATGGAACATGTGTGGGTTTGGTACCATCCACTCCCCCCCGCCCTCCCACTAAACCTTAATGCCACACCAAAGTATTTCTCCCAGCCTCCAGTTGAGTCTCCTTCGATTTTATTTTCAACAGATTTCCCAGAGGGAAGCCACAGCTCAACAAAGCACCTCCTCCCCCTGCAGCACCCTCTTCTCCTCATGGATGAACCCCAGTGGAGCTGCGCTGTGCTGGGGAGGCTTTTCACTGCCGTGGTGACAACGACAGCAGCCAGGTCAGGAGCTGCATCCTTGAGCCCAGCTGCTCGCTCAGTCCCGGGGATCCCGGCTGCACGGCCGCCGGAACTCCTGCCCATACTCATGGATCCACTTGTTTGCCACTGGAAGGGACAAGGGCCCCATCTGTCTCTGTCCCCTATGCCAACCTCATGGGGGTGGCCTCCCTGCTGTCCCTCTGACCCCGAATCACCCTGGGGTGACACCGGGTGCTGCCACTCACCCCACTTGTCCCCAGCCAGCACGGGGCATCCAGCGTGTAGGGTGTCCCCGTCACCGTCGCCATTCCTTCGCAGGTTCCACCAGAACAAGGCTGCGTTCTGCAGAGCAGAATAAAGACACATCCCAGGGCTTTGGCACACCTCAAACAGAGCTGGGAGCTCCAGCATTGGGATTTTACACCCCAAAACTAAGCCAGGATTCCAACAGCTGGGCTCTCAGGGCTGCGGTTTGACAAAACAGAGCTGAGAGCCTTGAGGTTGGATTGTCATCCCAAGACATGGGTAGGAGCTTCAAGGTTAAGGATCAGCACCCCAAAACAAGGGCAGTATACACAGCCCAGATCTGGGAGTTAGGGGGTTGGGGTTTGACACTCCTAAGAGAAAGCTGAAAGGCCCAAAGACTGGATTTGGAACCTCTAGAATGGAGCCAGGAGCTCCAGGGCTGGCCTTTGGCACTCCAAAACATCAGGGAGCTGCAGGTTGGGATTTGGTGTTGGGATGGGCTGAGCTGTGACTCTCTGTAAGAGATAAGAAATGGGAGAGCTGTGTCCCCCCCCCCCCCTGTTCCCCACTCTTGGGATGATCTTGTGCAGGTTCCCCTCACCTTAACCACTGGCACGCTGAAGTTGGCGTAGATGAAGGCAGTGGAGCCACCTGCCTCCACTGCACTCAGCTGGAAAAGGAGAAAAAGAAATGCGAGTCACGGCCCTCATCCTCCTCCTGCCCTGTGGGATACGACTGCTTTCCGAGGCACAAAACCTCCCCTGGTTCCATCCCCCATGCTTTTTCCTTGCTGTGGCATTGCACAAGCTCTGAAATCCTCTGCCAACACTACGTTTTATCACCATAGCCATCTACTTTTAGCGCCATAGCTGTGTGATTTAGAGCTGCCCTCACCCCTCTCCCTCTCTCACGTTCACTCTGAACCCTACTGATATCCACACAGATGCAAAAACAGACCAAAATGGGGACTCACGTAGATCATGACCGTGGCAATCCTGTTGCCCGACTTCATTCTGTAAAGGGGGCTCTTCCTGGACTGCCCCAAAAGCAAGGAAGTGGAAATGGTCAGTCTGTGTGGGCGCTGCTGGGAGACACCTCTTACCCTAATGGACCTCATGGCTCTGAGCTGCTGCCAGGAAAAATCCCTTCCTCCCTCTTCCCTCCTCTCCTTCCTCCAGCCCCCTCCTGGCTCCATTTCACAGGACACCCCAGGAACCTCCCTCCCACAGCACCACCCCAGGAGCACCCATAGGACAATCCAAGACCATCCTGGTGACTGTCTCAGGACCGTTCTGATCACCATTCTAGGAGCACCCAGAGTCTATCTTGCTGGCCATCCCAAGTACACCCAAGGACCATCTCAATGACCATCCCAGGAGCACCCACAGGACAACCCAGTGACCACCCCAGGACCCTCCAGACTCCTGACCGTGGCGTGGTCGAAGTGGGGCTCGTAGTGGCCGCCGAGACCATAGTTGACCACCTGCAGGTACTCAGCGTAGGGTGGCCGCAGGTCCAGGCCGGTGATGGCCGCCATGCGCAGCTCCAGTGCCCGCACCACTGGGTCGGCTGTGTCCTTCAGCCAGGCACTGTGGGGAAGCTCAACCTCAGCCCCTCACTGACTTCATTTGGGAGAAAATGGGGGCACCCAA